AGTGCACTGGCATGATTTCGGCTCGCTGCAACCTCCGCCTCCGGGGTTCAAGCCATTCTGCTGCCTCAGCCTCCCAAATAGCTGGGACTACATGTGCATGTCACTACACCTGAATAATTTTTTTGTAATTATGGTGGAGATGGGTTTCACCATGTTGGCCAGGCTGCTCTCAAGCTCCTGACCTCAAGTGACCCACACGCTTTGGCCTTCCAAAGTGCTGGGATTACAAGCATGAGCCACTGCGCCTGGCCCAGGGACTTGACTTTGAAGTAGTTAGGAAGGGAAGAGTGGAGGGAATAAATGAGGTGGTAGAGGGCCCCACACCACCTATTTCAGGAGAGGGACGACTGAAAGTGGCAAAATCCCCAGTGCGTTTATGTGTCTAGTTACACTATCATTATCCAAAAGGGAAGTCCAGTTTGTCTGAAGAGTTCAGTCAGAATTTCAGTGGTTATCCACAGATATAACAGTGAACTTACGGCATGATAGTCACTGCTCTTATTATTAGTGGATGCAGAACAAGGCTACTGAATATTTAAGTATTTGAATATATTTAAATATTTCAACTTAAACCAATAATCTCCAAGAACCCAGAGGCCTTTTGGGATTGTTTTGTTCGTAACGCATCTCAGCAATTCTGAAAAGTTCAGGGAAAAGTATCAGCAAAGTCATCTCCTGCTAGGTTCCTCTGGTCTGAGCTCAGTAGCCCTAAGCATGGCACACACCAGCGGTGATGGCGATGGAGGTGGTAACTACCATTTATCCAACTTAATCCTGTGGTTCTTATGCCAGGTATTGTGCTGAATACTTTATGTGGATTCTGTCATTTAATCCAGAAACAAGCTTATGAGAATAATAGGTGCTGTTACCCCTATTTTACTGATAAAGAAACAGCCTTATGTAGCCAGTAAGGCAGAACCAGGATTTAAATCCCAGGAGTTTAACTCCCTACCTTATTCGTCTAACCACTACTCTATTCTATTCTGGTTTGGGTCCTAAGCATACCTTTGTCTTCCTCTTCAGCTTGATGTAGTTTTAGAAACCAATCTGGCAACAGTCTGGGTTCTGGAAGCAATACAGAAGAAGCTTTCCCGCTTGTCTGCTGAGGAACAAGCCAAATTTCGCTTGGACAACACCCTTGGGGGCACATCAGAAGTCATCCATAGAAAAGCACTCCAGAGGATATATGCTGATAAAGCAGCTGACATCATTGATGGTCTGAGAAAGAATCCTTCCATCGCTGTCCCAATTGTCCTTAAAAGGTGCCTGAGCAAATGTGCCCTCGGTGCTTTAGTGTACTTCACTACTGTGTCAGTGTCCCACTAAATAAGGCTCTCATTGTCAACCTGGTTGTCCCATGAGACCTCTCTTTCTCCCCAGCCCTGGTTGTTGGAATTCACACGCAGAATGGAACTTCTTTTCGGAGTTCTGTGTAACCAGTATTAGGGAACAAATCTTGTAAGTTCGTGGTGGAAGGCTCTGTGTGTATATTTGAAGGGAGTATTTTAAAATACAGAAAAGAAGATAATTACCACCCGTGTTCCTGCCGCTCAGGACTAACTGTTAACGTCTTTGTTTTTTATTTTCTAGACAGGATCTCACTCTTTCACCCAGGCTGGAATGCAGTAGTGTGAACACAGCTCACTGCAGCCTCAACTTCTCAGGCTCAGGTGATCCTCCCACCTCAGCCTCCTGAATACCTGGGACTACAGGCATGCACCACCACACACCCAGCTAATTTTCAATTTTTTTTTTCTTTACAGAGACAAGGTCTTGCTCTGTTTCTCAGGCTGACCTCTAACTCCTGGCCTTGAGCAATCCTCCTGCCTCCCCAAGTCCTGGGAGTAAAGGTGTGAACCACCGTGCGTGGCCTCCCTCTCTCTTTCGAAAGGAGATATGTTTATTTTTAGAAGTAGTATGGACTTACCATAAAAAATGTTAAATGATATGAAACTGTATGGGCCAGAGATTGAAAAGCTTCCATGTCTCCACCCCTGGAGTAACTGACACTCCTTTTGCATGATCAGATTTTGTACATACTGACTGTTCCCACTTTTTCTTTATTCTTGTTTGTTTCATTTCCTTCAGGTCTCCAGGAAACCTAGAGAAGAACCGTTATGGGGATGTGCCCTGTCTGGACTAAACTAGAGTGAAGCTAACAAAGCGAAGTGGCCATACTCAGGTAGACAGATCAATGTCATCTTTCCAGGTGCACTGGGGCAAATTGAGCTTCTTCCAAAGTGAAGCTTACTAATACTATAGTAGCATGAAAGTAGACTCTGAGGCCAGAGAGATTAGGTTTCAGTTCATGTTTTGCTACACACTAGTCTATGACCATAGGCAAGTCCTCAAATGCCCACCTCACAGTATCGAGTGGAAATTAAATGAAATTCTTATGTGAATGCTGATAGTGCAAGGTCTGATATATTACAGGTGCTTCATAGATGTTAAACTATTTCTCCTTTTACTCCTTAGTTGTAAAGTTATGGTCGTAGAGTCCAGTTCCTTTGGTGAGTATATATGCATCAATACAAGGCAACCTTGATTGTAAGTGACCTCTGATTTCTCCATCTGTATCTGGGGAAATTGTGGACAACTTACGTATACATAA